CTGGACCAGCTTCACAGAGCAGTCTAGCCTGCCCGCAAGCTCTCTGTGGGAATCTTGCTTTCCTGCCTTTGCTGGGGATTGGCTGAAAGATTAGGAAGCAGGGGGCAGGGGTGAGGGGGAGGTCATTAAGGAGCACAAACCCCATTGGTGAATCATAAACCCCCCATAATGAGGCCTGGCTGCTTTGCAGAGCTAGGGGCGGGAAGAACTCTCTAGAGCAGTGGTTCTCAACCTTCCTCCTGCCGCGCCCCTTTCATACACTTCCTCATGTGGTGGTGACCCCAACCATAGAATTATTTTTGTTGCTACTTCCTCACTGTCATTTTGCTACTCTTATGAATGGGCGTCCCCTGTGAAAGGGCCATTCGACCCCAAAGGGGTCTCGATGCACAGGTTGAGAATCACTGCGTAGAAGGAGGCTGGGCCTGGTTGCCTGGTGGTGACCCCTTGGCCCTCACAGGCACCCTGTTAGGGAACACTGCTGTCATCCACTGCACAGAGAGGGGAGTGGCCTGACCAAGGTCACATCCATGGAGGTGATGGTGTCAGGAACCAGGACCGTTTGGAGCAGAGCCCAGGCCTGTCAGCTCCTCCTCGCACCCCAAGTGCAGTGTGATGAGGAAGGAGGGAGGAGCCAGCCTCTGTTAAGGATTTGGTTTGAACAGCTTTGTTAACTTGGTCAAGCGCTTTTCCGGGTGGCTAGTGGGGAACAAGGCTCCTCTAGATGCTGGAGGAAAATGACAGATGAGGGGTGCGTAAGGGTAGGTGACGAGGTTGGGTGGGCAGCCAAGAGGCCGTGATATGCAGGGGCAGGGACCTAGGGGCCACCGTGCAGGGTGGGAGCAAGCTGGCTAATGGACTTAATTAACTCTGTGGTCGGACCTCTCTTACATGTGACTGGGCCCATTCATGCTGTTCCAAGCGCCTGACCCAAGCTCAGCTGGGCCCTGGGTCTGGGGACAGTGGGAAGTCACTGTCTTTGGTGGTCTGTGACCCCCCCCCCCCCACCCAGTGAGCTGAGGCCCCCTCAGAATAGAAACACTGTGCAACAGCTGCTGTTCCGCTGTGGAACTTGTCCATCCGGGGCCTCGGACTGGATGGGAGCAGGGCTGCAGGACTACCCCAGCCAGCATGTCTCCGTGTGGAACTGGGGCTGTGGGCCTTCCTAGTCCCAACAATCTCATCTCCCAGACATTCCTTGTGACCCTTTGGGTCAGGGTCCCAGCTGCTGGAGCCCCACCCGCCTCCCCAGGGCCCACTGGGCCTTCCCAGGACCAGTAAGTGATGTGCAGCAGGTGGGGTTCTTCCCTCTCTGCAGCCCTCCCCCAAAGGTTCCATTCTCATCCGTGAGGTGTGGGGCTGAGTGGCTTTGCTGATTCCCTTTCCAGCCCTGAACGCTCCTTCCCTTCCTCAGGAGGGCTTCCCTCACTCCCTTCAGTCTCCTTCCCTCCATCCCTGCCACCACATGCCCCTCCTGTCTTTCCCTTCGGTGACTTTGGAGCCGGGGTTCCTCAGGGAATGACGGGCTGGGCTGGGGTTTTGTCCATCCTTTCAGAAGGCCTCCATTGTAAGCTAAGAGGCCACCATACTCCATGGGATAAACCCAGAGCCTAAAACAAAACGCGTCTCAGCCAGGCTTTTGGTCAGGCACAGGCCACGTGCCTGGGTGGTGTGGCCCCAGAGCTGCTGAGTCAGGGGGGCAGGTGAGGCCCCGAAGCCCTGGCTTCCCTCCTAGCTCCCGCTCCTTTAGCCCTCTTTCTGAATGAGCCCGGACTAAAGCAAATGGGTGAAGGGAAGAAGGAAGAGCTAGCTGAACAGCACGTTCCAAAGGTGATTCAAGGAGACAAAGTATTATAATGAAATGTGTGCGGACCTGGAGTTAGGAAGCCAAAGAGGTAGCATGCACTCAGTATCTATCCAGCTAAAAGAACAGAGGGGAAATTCAAGCCTTGAGTTGCAGCAGTGAGCGGGGCAGGAAGCACCAAAAGAAGATGGAAGGGCTACAGAGCCACTGTATCAAAAAGAACTGGTCAACATCTCACCATTTCAAGAGGCAGCACATGGTCAAGGACTGATGATGCTGTAGGAAGGAGCCCAGGAAGTCCAAGCTGAGGAATTAGTGGAAAACAAGGCTCCAGAAACTGGAATACCAGTGAAATGTTTCAACAAGCTGATGAAGCACTGGAAACACTCTCTTGTCGATGCCGAGAAACGTGGAAGAAAATTGCTAGCTACCAATTACTAGAGGAGATCCATATTTGTGCCCATTCCAAAGTAAGGTGACTCAACAGGACGCAGAAACTGTTGAATGCCATCATTAATATCACATGCAAGTAAAATTTGGCTGAAGATAATTTTAAAATGGCGGCAGTAATTCATCAACAGGAAGCTGACAGAAATTTAAGTATAATACAGAAGAGGATGTGAAACAACGGATATCATTACTGATGTCAGATGGATTTGGGCTGGAAGCAAAGCACACCAGAAAGCTGTTTCCTTGTGTGATATTTACTATGCAAGACATTCACCTCTGTGGAACATAATAAACTACAGATATCGTTGAGAAGAATGGGAATTCTAGAACACTTCATTGTGCTCATTTTATCTATAAACTCACTGCCCCATTGAGTGAATGCTGTCTCATAGCGACCCACTGTGGGTTTTTGAGACTCTGTTTACCAGCGTAGAAGGCCCAGTCTTTCGCCTGCGGAGCTGCTGGTGGTTTTGAACTGCCGACCATGCAGATTGCAGTTGAAATGTAACCACTACACTACCATGGCTCCATCATTTTATCTATATGCTGAGCAAAAGCTGGACTACATAAGGAAGAATGTGGCATCAGGATCAGAAGAAAGTTTATTAACAATTTTCGATATGCAAATGACATAACTGCTTGTGGAGTATTTGGGGCGCTTCCGCCTTCAATATGGACTTCTACTAACTGTCGAGAAAACCCAAATCCTCACAACTGGACCCATAGACGTCATGATAAAAAGATAAAAGTCTGAAGTTGGCTCTTCCCATCACCCCCAATGTTCTGCTGCTGCCAGGAAGGTGGATCTGTGCAGTCACTGGGTCCAAGAAGTACCCTGGACACGGGTGGTGCTACACTAGGACCAATGGGAAGCTTTTCCAATTTCTTAATGCACAGCGCGAGTCAGCATTCCTTTCCTAGAGTAACCCTGCGCAGGTAAGCTGGACTGTTCTCTACAGAAGGAAGCACAAAAAGGAGCAACTGGAAGAGATTCAAAAGGAAAGCACCCACCGTGCAGTCACATTCCAGAGGGCCAGCACCGGTGCATGTCTTGCTGCTATAATGGCCAAGAGGAATCAGAAACCTGAAGTTAGAAAGGCCCAATGAGAACAGGCTCTCAGGGCTGCCTAAAGACTAAGCACGTGCCTGAAGGACAGCAATGGCTGCTACCAAGGCTCCCACACGGCAGCACCTAAGTAAAAGAGTGTGAAGCCTGTGAAAGTTTCCGCTCCCGGTTGGTGGAAAATGCCAAGTTGACTTTCAAAGAAGCTTTCGAGTAAAGACGCAACTGTAACTCAAAAAACAAAACAAAAACACTGAAGTTGTCAAGAATTTCATTTTGCTTGGATCCACAACCAACTCTCACAGAAGCAGCAATCAAGAATTCAAAAACAGTATTGCAATGGACAAATCTACCACACAAGACCTCTTTTAGAGTGTTGATGAGCAAGGATGTTGCTTTGAGGACTAAGGTTTGCCGTGGTATTTTCACTTCAAAACATGATGTTTTTCAATTGTTTCATATGCATGTGAAAGTTGGATGATGAACACGGAAGACTGTAGAATTGATGCATTTGCATTAGGGTGCTGGCGTGGACTGCCAGAAGAACAAACAGATCCATCTTGGAAGAAGTTCAGCCACAATGCTCCTTAGAATCAAGGATGGCGAGACTTCATCCCACGTGCATTGGGCATGTGAACAGGGGAGAACAGTCCCTGGAAAAGGGGACAGTTGAGGGTCAGTGAAAAAGAGGAAGACAGTCAAGGAGATGGATGGACACAGTGGCTGCCATCAGGGGGTTGGACATAACTGTGCTTGTGAGGACAGTGCAAGACAGGGCCATGCTGACTTCTGCTGTACACAGTGCACTGTGAGTCCCGGCTGACTCACTCCACTTAGCAACTGGCCCATGCGGCACCGGGCTGGACCACCTCCTGGCTCTGATTAAGAGCTTGTTTGGAGACCTGAACTACATGACAAGCCCCCCCCCAAATATGAAATGAAAAGGCAGACCTAGACATTCCGCAACTGGGCGCCACAACTAGACATTCCCCAACAGTGTCCTGCCCCTCTGGGGAGGAATGTTTGTAGATGTAGGGAATGAAGGAAGGATGCACCTATCAAATCCTAGGATTAGTCTTGGATCATCCTACTCTTTACAGGACCCAAGGTGTCCCAGCCTGCTCAGAATCTGGCTTTTATTCCCTACTATCTCATGTTCTGTGGCTCTGGGATTCTCTGGGTCCCAGGGACAGCCTGGCCAGAGGCGGGTGCACAGGCCTGGCTAGAAGTAGTTGACAATCCCTGCTCTACCACGTACACACGGCCACGGTAGTTGGGTTCCTCTTACAGGACCCACCTAGAACAGAGGAGAAGATTGGGTGGCAAGGGAGAAGGCAGAGTGGCCACCTGGGCTGAGCCTGGGCTCTGGTGGCACCCTGTCCCACCTAGCATCCCCTCCCAGCTCCCGAGGTCATCACATTCCATCTGGAGACCAGGCTGGTACCTCGTCCCCCTCCTGGTTGGCTTCCTTCCCTTTCATCCCCCTGTGGGCATGTTGGGTGTGGGTTGTGGCACTTCCCACGGGGTGATGCTCAGGGACCATGACATTCTGGACCAGCCCAGGGTGGTGATCACAGAAACTGGAGTGATTCTGGGTACGCGTCTTCCCTCATCCCTCTTCTCCTCCACTCTTTCCTGGGTAAGCTGCTACCACTCAGAGAGCAGGGGCCAGTGAGCAGGTGTAAGAAGTACCCAGGAGCACTGGGGGAAGGATGGGGTCAAGCAAGAGAGCCGAGGGAAGAGAAACTAGTCCAGGTAATCAAGCATGGCTCCTTCTGGAGGAGGTGTGATGATTGGGGTACATGGGGGGCCGGGAGACCCTCTCTGCCTGGGGAAGGTGTGTGTCTCCCAGGAAGAAACCTGGGGACTGCGCTGCCTCCTCACTCTGCTAGCTTCAGGATGTGGAACTGTCTGGAGGAGGCGGGAAAGGCTCTGCTTTGCACCATTTCCCACTTGGAGGCTGACATGCTGTGTGTGCATGGGGAGTAGGCAGGCACAGCGCACGGACGAAATGGGTGGAACCAACCAGGTCCCTCCATCCCAGGGTCTCCTGCCTCTCTCGGGAGAAGAATGGAGCCTTGGGATTTACCAGGCTTCAGAAGCCCTGCTGCTCTGAGTGGGAATCAACCCGGTGACAGTGGGTTTGTTGTGTTGTGTTGCTGGTTAGTTGGATCTTGGCTTCATTTTCACCATGGATGGGAAATCGTGTTCTCTTTTGGAGGGGGCTGGTGGCCTTGGCCTTGGCCTCTAAGCATTGCTGAGCCTAGGCCGAAGGTGAGCACCTTGGTCCACCCATCCCAGCACTCTCCCCATGAGACACCGATTCAGAAGGTTTGAACCGCTCTGTCCCAGTGCCCTTGTTTTAGATGAGAACCCATGCAGGGAAGTGACCGCGAAGGCTAGGCAGCTGCTGAGCCAGTGTGCTGCCATTTTGGCCAGCTCTCCCACATGCATACCCCCCTCAGCCTCCCTTTTCCCATCTCCACCCCCCACCTGCAGGCACGGTCTGCTGAGCCTTGCCATGAGAAGGCAGAGAGGGGCCAGGTAGAACCAGCAGGAACCTTCGTGGAGACTCCGGTCAGCCCAGGGCCTCTCGTCTCTAGGCCCGACCCACTGTGTCTGGGACCAGCTTAGAGCTTTCCCCAAGTGAAGATGAGGGGACTGAGAGGAGCAGGAAGGGGGTGTTCCTTAATCCGCTGATCATGTGGGGAGGGCAGGCAGACAGCCCCTGGGTCCAGGCAGATTCCCCCCCAGGCCCTGTCCACTTTTCTAACCCTCCCCTCAAAACTCTACCCCCTCTCTAAGGGAGTAGTGCCCAGTCCTCCCTTACCTCTCCAGGTGAAGAGGGGCAGGCCCACTTTTGTGAGGGGTCGAATTGTGCCCCCCCACAAAACACATGTTAGAATTCTAACCCCTCTGCTTGTAGAAGTGATACCGTATGTGCTTTGTTAATGAGGCCGGAATTAGTTAGGGCGCGTCTTAAATCTAGCTTTTGAGATATAAACGAGCAGATGAAGCCAGTCAGCACACAGGCGGGTAAGAGACATGCCGCCTGGTCATCAAGGGACCTGGAAATAGAAGCAGGACAGAGAGCTCTTCCCCCGAGAGCTGGCACTCGGAATTTGGATTTCAGTGAAATCAGATGTTCTGTTCATTAAAACCATCCGCGCTGTGGGACGCCTCTTAGAGCAGCAACGACTCCCTAAGACTGCCTTTCTCCTGACGACCTTTCCATGCCTGGACGGGCCCCAGGGCTTCTCCTGGTGAACACCTGCCTTGATCAGGATGGGATCCAGAGTGCCACCTCCAGAATCAACTCCGTTACCCAGCACCCTTATGGTGTGCCCCAGGGCTCTCTCTCCCAGTTCTGTGACTGACACCCCAGAGGGAGGACCTACCCTCAAGGCACCTCTGCACCCGGTATTCAGGGGTGTTCCCTGACGATGGTCCTCGCAGGCTGTGGAGGAAGCCACTTCTGTTTGTCTTTGACAAGGAGCATGGGAGGGGGTAAGCCTAGGATGGGAAAGGGCCTCTAGGGTGGGGCTCTGATTCCTGACCTGGGCACAGGCCATGGCCCCCTAGAGCATGACTCACGTGCCATCCCCTGACACCTTGAGGGAGCTGATGCCGTTCTTGGCCCAGCCCTGACTGTGGAGGAAAGTGCTGTCCTCTGTGAACATCAAGCACCGGCCCATGACGCTGCAGCCCTCAAAGATTTCCAGGTGGAAATGCTCCCCGTGCTCCAGGAGCCAAGGAGGGAAGGAAGGAAAGAAGAGAAGCACTCCTGAATTCGCACCCCCAGCCCCCATTCAGAAACAGAAGACCCAGTGCTGGAAGGAGCTGAGAATTGCCCAGGGCAGGGCTGAGCTCCATGTGAGAAGACAAGTGAATTCCACAGATTTGATTAGGTGAATGGGTTCTATTTTTGCAAAAAGTTTCAACCCACCCGAATGAGTCCAGTGTCTTCTTACATACAAAGAGTCTAAGGACCAGAGAAGGCCAGCGGCTTGCTCACAGGTATCCACAGGCCAGCTGCAAAACTTGGACCATCGGCTCCCTCAAGAGGTGGGTCATGAGCACCTCAAGGGACATCCCTTGTACCCTGGCCTTCATAGCATGATCTTCTACCCTTTATCCCTCTCTCTGGACCACATGCCATGGATCAAATCATGATATTTTAAAGTGGTAGTGGAATGCTGGATTAAAACATGAAGCCAAAACAAATCACAATCTTTCTAGCTGAAATCTTGCTGACCCCTACATCATGGGTCACTTGGACCAGGACCTATGTCTCCTCATGAGATTCCCCATGTCATCCCTCCAGAAGACAAAAGGGGACTTTAGCCTCTGGTCCCCATCTCCAGCAAGGCTGGGTCCAGGAGGGCTCTATGGAAAATAGCACTCACTACATAGCCGGTGTAATTTTTCCCATAGAAATAGCATTAGGCAGGGTCGAAGATCAACTTTTTCCAAATGACCAATTCTATAAAGAGATCATTCTTACCACTTGAGAGGCCAACTCCCCCCCTCCCCCAGCTGGTTTTGCAACGAACAGGGAAAAGAGATAGGGGCTGACGCAGGTCCCTACCAGGAAGCTGACAGATGCTCTGCACACCTACACAAGGGGGCTGCTCACCCCTGCTCTCAAGAGCCTGTTGCTTCCCATCCCAAACACCAGGACCTCCCCCAGCAGGTTCATACTTTTGACTAGGTGGGGGGTGGAGGATTCAAGGAGCATCTTGCTCACTTTTCTCATAGGCCAGCCGACACTGAATAGTCCTCAGCTCTCCCCACACAGCTGAGCTTCCCCCATCAGTCACTCCGAGTTGAGTGAAGAGGTGACTCCTGGGAAAATACTACAGTATTCCCAAGCAAGAGGAGGTGCTGTACCAGGTCAAAGCAGCTGTACTTTGGGATCTCCTTTCCTTCCTTCCCTCCCAGACTGCTTGCAAATTCCACTTTATGTTTTCAATGAGCAAGTTAGCAACATGTTGGCATCAGAAATGTAAAGTGGTTTTCTGATGCATGCGCAGATACTTGATTGAAAACTGGTTGGGCAGGGAGTTTGGATCTATTGGCAGGTCCATGAGGAACGGACACAGGAAAAATGTCTTTTAATGGGGTGACAGGCTCTGGGAGGCGTGGCCAGGGCCTAGGAAGTCAGACCACGTAAATGCTGAGCGTGGAAGTCTTTGATTGGCTGTAACTCCCTCGCCCAGCTCTCCAGGGGAACAGTAAGCTCACCATCCCAACAGGCCGGCAGGAGCCCCCATGGCCACTGTGACCATTCCAGGGGAAGAAGTCAGGGCTGTCCCTGTGCTCCAGGATGAACTGCTGGCCTCGGAAGCCAGGGTGCTCGAAGCATGCCTAGGCCCCACTCTCCACTCGGACGGAGTTCATCCGATTCACAAAGCCTCGGCCCGGAGGCTGGTCGCAGTCCCCCCAAACCTCCAGCTTCCACCCTGGGAAGTGCTTGCCCTCACAGAGCGTGGTCTGGAAGGTCAAATGGGAGAGAGTGGACTCAGGTGTTTTTCTCCTTTCAGTCGGGGGATCTCCAGCTTCAAGAACACCAGCACCCAGTTCTACTGCACAGAGCAGGGCTCAGTCAAGACTTGTTGACTGGGGCAAAGAGCAGAGGCGGGGGTCCGCTCTTCTTTCTACATGGGCTGTCATCAGACACAGCACGGGGGGCCTTCCCACCCCCCAGGAGACCTTCACTGAGCAGCTAAATATCAGTCGATATCAGACAGAATAACAAACCCTTTGTCTAGGGGGTCATTTAACAATAGGTTCTTTTCAACTGTCCACTGCTGCATTTGATGTTGTTGTTGTTTATTGTTACAATGGAATATCCATCATGACATTCGAGGACATGGTTCAGAAGAGAACACTTTCCCCACAACCCCACCCTCATAGCTCCTCGTTATTTTCCCCAAAAGGCAAGTTTCCGAGGACTGGGCCTCTTGACCGGACTCCACTTCAGGGCCTGGAAAGGGATTTCTCCTCTCAGAAATGGGATTTCTATTCTTAGTGGAATTCTATTCCTTTGGGTCCCAGAGATATGTCCAATCTGGAACTTGGATCGGTCAGTATGTCCAAAAGTGATGTAGCACAGACAGCTTCTCCTTGTCACCAAGCAAAACAACATGGAACGTCAACAGCCTCCAAGCTCACTTCCTGCTGAGCTTCATCTGCAATGGATGTAGGTTTCCAGACTGGTGCCCTGAGTAGAGGCTGTTAAGGGGCAAGTAATGCTGCCCAGAAGTCTGGAATCCAAGCTAATCGCATGTGATAATGCAAATATTTCCAGTTCTCGGGAGGCTGGGAGGCTTTAGCACTTCTCTTCCAGTTCCGGCTCCCTGTGGAGTCAGGCAAGTCATCCTGGTGGCACACAGGCTGAGGCGCTGGACTGCTAACTGCCAAGTCAGAAGTTTGTCGTCTGCCACTCCTTGAGAGAAAGGTGAGTTTTCTGTCTCCATAGAGATTCCCAGGGGCAGAAACCCTGGGGAGCACTTTGATGCTGGCCTATAGGGTGAGCATGTCAGAACTGACCCGACAGTCTTGGCCAAGTACCTTGGCCCCAGAATGGTGAGCGGCAGGGAGGAAGCCCTGATAAAGGGCCAGCCAGCTGTGGTTCCCTCTGCCCTGCAGATGTGGGTGTGCGGGGTGACAGGGCAGGGTCCCAGCACAGGCACTCCCTCTGTGGATGCAGTGTGAGCCCAGGAGGGCTTGGTGGCTGCGTGGTTTGGGAAGTGCGATCCAGCCAGTGTAGACCGCAAAGGCCCTTAATGGTGACTGCTCGGCTGAAGTGGGCAGGAAAGAGGGAGACGGTGGAGGCCACCCTCCACACAGACCCGTCCCTCAGCGACATTTCAGACAGCGGGGAGACTTGGACTCCTTAGGGGGCCAGCACCAAGCCTCCCAGTTCCTCATGTAAGCCTGGGAAGGGAAAGGGTGGGCGTGGCACTCTCCCCACCCCGGGTCAGACACAGGTGAAACTGTGCCAAACCTGCCTATGAAAAACACCACGCAAAGCATCAAGCGACCCACTGTGTTCCCTGGAGTCCTACCGCAAAAGGGCAGAGGGGGGCTGGGAGGAGGGCTGCTTATCTGTTTCCCAAGGCCCCCCACAGTCTCTGAAGATCTCCCTGCTTTGCCAAGAGCACTCACCTTGTGTCCTGGTGTTCAGGCCCCCCCACCCCCAGGGCAGTTCCCATATAGAAGGGTCTGGCCCTGCTGACCACTGCCTTTGAGTTGCGGGGACAAAAGAACTGCCTGCTGGCAGCGTCTGCCAGGTCTGCCACATTAGGGGGGGGGGGCGCGGCGCCTGTCACTGAGTGCAAACCCCCAATCCCTGCTCACCAGGTAGGAAAGGGGAGGAGGGGCAGAAGAGATGGAACTGGGCCTGGGATGAGGCGGGAATGGGAAGATTGCGCTTAAAGAGGGGACTGCAGCGAGTGGCCCTCAAACGACCTGGCCATACAGCGTGGAACGGAAACTCATTTGCTCTGCAAACTTTCACTCAAATCACAGCTTTTTTTTTCCCCATAAAAGGTAAACCTGCGGAGCCCCCAGCCAGCCCCAAGATCACCTCTTCTGGACCACCCTTTTCCAGCCCAGCTAGCTGGGTCTCACTTGTCTGCCTGTGGCAATCCGATCCACCTATCAGCAGTTCAAATCCACCAGCTGCTCCGTGGGAGAAAGACGGGGCTTTCTGCTCCCATGAAGAGTTAGTCTCTGAAACCCCAGAGGGGCACTGCCCTACAGGCTGGACTTCATGGCTGGGAGTCCTCAGACTCTTGGAAGGGAGACCTCTAGAAACTCTCTTCCTGTTCCCAAATGCTCCCCTCTCCCCTTCTGACCCACCCTCCCTCCTTCCTCACACACAAAAAAAAGTTTGTGGAAAATGACATTCTTTTAAAATTCTATCCCTCACTCTCCACCCCACCCTGGAATCTTTTGAAGCTCTCTCTTCTATTCTCCCTTCCTGACTGATGGTCCAGGCTTCCTGTGGCAGGGAAGAAAGCCCTGGACCCAACCTTGCCTCTCCAAAATCGGCAACCTTCTTGGAGGCCCAACAATTTCCCGAGCCAGGCCACCCAGTCCCTTTCTCTGTCTTGTTTCCCCTGGAAGCTCTCAGCCCTTGGGGATACATCCCATTCAGGTTCCCCCACCCCCGGGCCCCCCAGGCTTGGGCACCACAGTGTCTTACTGATAATAAGGGTTCCTGCTCTGGAGCAGCAAAGCTAATCACTAATTTCAACTTAGAGAGGAAAAGAGAAGTTTATCAGAAGCAAGGCAACACCAAGGCCAGAGGCACCAGGGCAAAGGAGCTGCAGTCCCGAGGCCAGAGACCACGAGACTGTGAGGCACAGCAGAGGGTGGGCTGCCACTATGCCAGCAAGGCTCCTCCTTAGTCACACAATCACCACTGGTGGCAGATCAATTGTCACCGTCCTGGGGAAAGGACTATGATTGAGATACATACACAATTATGAAATAGAAAAACTTAAGATGACTGGTTCTGGGAACCTTCAATTACCTGGCTGGTCTGGGTATGGTTCATGACTGTTAAGCCTTGGTATCTCTCCAGAAGAATGTGCTACAGAGGACAGCACTGAAGATACAGCCGGGGAGAGTGGCAGGTCTGCCCAGACCACACATAAGATATAGTGTCTTATAGGCTTGAAGTTAAACAAGCAGCCCTCTAGTAAGGAAGCAACAAAGCCCACAAAGAAGCACACTAACCCATGTGATCACAAGTTGTCAACAGGATTAGGTATCAGAAGACCCCAAACAGCCATTTTGATGTGAATGAGGGGGATGGGAATGGAGACCCAAAGCCCATCTGTAGGCAATTGGACATCCCCTCAGAGAAGGGACACAAGGAAGGGACGAGCCAGCCAGGGTACAGCATAGCACCGAAGAAACACACAACATTCCTCTAGTTCTTTAATGCTTCTTCCCCACCCCCCACCACCACTATCATGACCCCAGTTATATCTTACAAATCTGGTTAGACCAGAGCATGTACACTGGTACAGATAAGAGCTCTTGACATACAGAAACCAGGACAGATGAACTCCTCAGGACCAATAATGAGAGTAGTGATACCATGAGGGTAGGGGGAAGATGGGGGAGAAGGGAGAACTGATTACAATGATCAGGGGAACAAACAACAGAAACAAGGGAAACAGCGAGTAGTATAAAATATTAAAATAAAATAATTTATGAATTATTAAGGGTTCATGAGGGAGGCAGGGGAAAAAAGAGAAGCTCATACCAAGGACTCGAGTAGAAAGAAAATGTTTTGGAAATGATGATGGCAACATATGTACAAATGTGCTTGATACAATTGATGGATGGATTTTTCTGGGAGCTGTAAGAACCCCCAATAAAATGATTTATTAATTTTTTTTAAAAAGTGCATCTAGGCAAGTTCCCAGAGGCAAGGCTGCTTCTCCTGAGGGACTCCAAAAGCCAAGCTTACTGCTAGTGAGTCACAGCTACCGGATGGAGGAGAGCTGCTTCTGTGGGTTTCTGTGGCTGCAAATCTTTTCTGGGGTGGAAAACCTCACCTTTCGCCCAAGGAGCACTGATGATGAGTTTGACCTTGCACACTTTGGAGGTTACCAAGGGCAGGATGCCAAAGGCAGGAAGATGAAGCAATAGAAGGTTGACCTGGGAGAAGGAGTTTAGTACAAAGGCTTATTTCCAGAAAATACCAAGCCCTGGAGGGAAATGTGGTGGCATTTATTATTACCTCTTCAAATACAAGAGATGCAGGGGAATGAAAACGGTACTAAGAGTTTTTAGATACCATCTTCCCAGAGGCTGCAATGCTCCTGGCTGGGGTGGGAGCCAACATGACACCGGTGTCCCCCAGCCTGGCTAGCTGCAGACCGGGGGAGCCTTCACTCCTGCCTGCCGTGACGCAACTTCTAGATACAACCGGGAGGTTTGGTTTGTTAAACAATTCCGCTTACTTAGACAATTATACACTTGTCCATCGAGTGCACTTTTATTCCTTATTTTTATTTCAAATGGGGTTACAAGGTCAGCACGCTGAAATCCAGGAGCTCCGTGTTTGCAAGTTTATGAGCAACAGGCAAAACTTGTGGTGGCAGAGAAACCATCCCTATTACAGTGGAATGAAGCAATGGATGCACTGAGCTCAGCTGTCGTGAAGGCAGCAGCCTGGAGCGCTCTCTCAGGACAAGAGAAGGCTGCGAGGGAGGCACAGGGACCCACCCATGGGAGAGCAGACACCACAGTCTAACCACCTGTTTTAGAGCTGGATGGTGATGGCTTCCTCCATTTCATGCTGGACATCTCCACAGGTAAAGGAGCAAGGGAAGTGGGGAAGCCGCCAGCAGCACTACTATTCCAGGTACTGCTTCTTCTCTTAGGTAGCACAAGCATCCCCAGCCGGTGGAGCAAGGAGCTGGCCAGCCAGTGCCCCAGAGGTGAAGTTCTCCCCAGAACCTTGGCTGGCCGTGCCTTTCTCCAAACCCGCAGTCTCAGGCCAGGAAGATGCTTTGTCTCACGTTCAGACACTCGTTTGGAACTGGAAGGAGCATCTGCAAACACAATGTTTCACAAGCTGCCTCTGGTGGAGACTCTTAAGTGCTCAGGGGCCCCGCGATGCTGTGGAGGAAGGTGGTGCCTCCCCTGGGATGTCTGCTAAGGTGGCTTTGCAGCTCCCCTTTGGAGACCCTGAGCAAGGCGCACCTGGTAGGACATCTCTCACCAGTGCTGCCAGGTGAAGTGGGCTGTCCTCACTATCCTTTCTAGCACAAAGGGTGGTTTCAACCCACCCAGAGGTGCATTTGAAGGCCTGCCGATCTATTTCCAAATCTGCCCTGACACCTCCCGCACAGTTACTAGCCCTGGGTGGTGGAGACTTGGGTGCTGCTGCGATTAACAGTTCCTGTGGAGCTTTCAGATAAAACTAACTGGGAAGGCCTGCAGATCTGTTTCTGAAGTCAACCAACTAAAACCTCGCTGTGGTAGTTACATAATCACTTGTCAATTTGAGACTTAAGAGTGAAGGGGTTGAGTTTAGCCTATCAGGTCGCAGCTTGATGACCTCATTTGGAGGCGCTAAGGAGATAAATAGCTTGCTAGAGGTGGACACGTACATGCTCACTCTCTGCGAGGTATTACTAATGACAAGCCTGATGGAGCTACACTAATGTACCCAGAGCCCTGGGAGTTGCAGGAGCCAGCTGGAGACCCCTGCCAGCACTGAGATGCTTCCACTGCCACTGGATCCACAAGACTTCCCACCCACTGGCTTGTGATCTTCCTGCACTCGGCATCATTGCATGTGTTTCGTGAGTCTGAAGAGGAATTTATAGATTGGTGTCAGACATATGGGCTAATATCGGACTTTAGGACTTGATCTGGACTGGGCTGGGATGTTTTCTCAATATTCAATTGTTCTTGCACATAAAGCTCTTTCTTATACACACGTGTCTCCCTGGATTTGTTTCTCTAATCTACTGGACTAACATACCCATGAATTGCAAAGATTAGGGCTACAGCCAATCAGGGAGAGGACCCAGGAGCTGGCAACATTTCGTTGAGTTGCGCACGGGGGTCATTGTGGAGTCATGGCCTCGTGGATGTCAGCTAACAGCAAGTCTGGGGCGGGCCCCAGAAATGTAGAAACCCCTTTCCCCCAGGCTAACAGGATTGAACTTCCTCTGTGGTTGGTGTCCTTATTGAGGAGTGCCTCAGTGAGCCTCTAAGACCTTAATTGGGCTGTGTCCATATCAGCAATCCTTGTAATTTCTCAAGGCTGTCAAAAATCATGGAGGAGCCCTGGTGTAGTAGTGGTTCCAAGGTAGGTTGTTAACTGCAAGGTCAGCAGTTCAAAATCACCAGCCACTTCTGCAGGTTTTCTAGTCAAATCAAGAGTTACTCTCAGACAACCACACGGGCAGTTCTGTCCTGTCCTACAGTCGCTATAAGTCGACATCGGCAGAGTGAGGAGTTGTAGAAAGCGGCTAAACTCTGCCCCAGCTGTTAGAACATTGCAGCTAATCACAAGGTCAGTGGTTCAAAACTGCCAGCTACTCTATAGGAGAAAGAGACTGGCAGCTCCTGTAAAGATTTTCAGCCTTGGGCACCCTCCAGAGTAGAGGTTCTCTACCTGTGGGTCGCAACCCCTTTGGGGTTTGAACAACCCTTTCACAGGGGTCACCGGATTCATAACAATGGCAAAATGACAGTGATTAAGTAGCAACAAAAATGTCATGGTTGGGGGGTCACCACATGAGGAACTGTAGTAAAGGGTTGTGGCACGAGGAAGGTTGAGAACCACTGCTCCAGAGGGTCTCTGAGTCAGAATTGACTGGATAGCAACAGGTTCACATCTTTTAAAGTTCAGGACATGCTAAACTCCACCAATGATGCCACATATAAGACTCATAGCTTACTGTGACAGATTAATTTGCTAACTGGATAAAAATGGGGACGGAAGGGGGAACACATTGAGAATGGAAACCATCAGGACGCTGGTAACTCAACGTAGAAGGCAATTGTCTGAGAAAGAGGCAAGTCATGCCTTGGCTGTCGTATTCAAAAGGCTTTCCTTGACAGGAATGGGTCATTGGTGCTGAAAGAACTCCAGAGCCAGTCTCGCATCAAACACTGTACTTCCCTGGTGACAAACGAGGTCACACAACTCAAGAGAGATGAACATGCAAGATGCTCCAGGCAGAGCAACGTTGTGGGCAGGTGGGCCCCAAGCGTCTGGAATCCAGGACAGTGAGCCCTCATTCCATTGGACACTCTAGTAACAGCAGACCCACTGATTTTACTACCATGAGGACAGATCTCATTTTCCTTGTTATACTAACGAGTATTTTTTATTTCTGGATTTGGCAGTTTCTTGTATAGCGGGGAGAAAGCTCTTTGGCTTTAGGAACTGAGGGGCCGCTGAGGTTAAGCAGTGAGACCATGCTGGGCCTTTAGGGGTTGAAGTTTAGATTTTGGTACAATTGGTCTGGAAGGATTTAGCTAGGGAATGACATTAATTTATGTCTTTAAGAGGTAACTATGGTTACAGTCCACTAACAAAGTGGAGATAAAAAAAATACAGCTAGATTTATGAGGCAGGGCCCCACAGCTGGTTGATAAATTGGATGAGGAAAATGATGGGAAGCGCTAAGGACAACTCAAGTTTCTGCTTTCACATCTAAGTGGTGTTAATTTTCTAAAACAGGAAGGTCGGGAGGCCCAGATTTTAAACAAAAACAGAATCCTGCTTCTGACATCAAAAGCGACTTGATGACAATGAGTTTTGGTTTGTTTCTGGTAAAACACATCTGAGAAGCCTCTATCAAGCATAAACCTGGAACCCAGAGGTTAACGCAAAAGGTAAAAATGTGGGGTGCTTCTGGAAACTTGGGTTTAGTCATAGCCTGGATAAAACCGACGACAGGACTGGCAGGAAAGGGCCACGGCTTGACAGGGACAGAGAGAGCCCCACACCACAGGGGGCAGGCAGGAAAAGCAGAAAGTGGGGTTAAGGGAAGAGACTTTCAGAGTAAAATGGGATGCTGGACCAGAAAAATAAAAACGCCCATTAGATGCAGTGATGCAAAAGTGATAAGCTGTTTTGACAGGCGCAGCTTTGGTGAAAGGGTGATGAGAAATATCCAATGAGAGTGGGTTAGAAGCGGATGTAATTGACTTTAATGTAAAAATATTCTATAAATATATTAAGAATGAGTGATGTAATTTGACTTTTTCTCTTGAAACTAAAATTTGAGCTGTGAAAATTATGAACATATCCCATTTTAAATTTGCTTGCTGTACTTCAATGAATCTAGGACTGCATTTTTGCACTGTGGTAGTTACACAATTTTGTCAGCCTGATAAAAGAATGAAGAGATGGGATCTAGCATGTCAATCAGGGCACAGCCTGAAGAAGTCTCCTAGTGGGCATGGCCTAATCATGAGGGTTCTGGGAACTCCCTCTCTTCCTCCCTGGAGGCAGGCCACTCTCTCCCCTCTGCCTTCCCTTTCCTGCTGCAGACACTCCAGAGAGCTGGAGGAGCCGCAAAAGCCACTGGATCCACAAAACTTTCTACCCACCAGCCTGTGATCTTCCTGCATTAGGCATCATTGCATGTGCTACATGAGTGGAAAGATGAATTTATGGACCACTATCAGGCACGTGGGTGGGCTAATATCGGAATTAATATGGACTTGCTCTGGACTGGGATGTCTTCTCAATATACAATTGCTCTGTGATATAAAGTTCTCTCTTATGTACACGAGTATCTCTGGATTTGTTCCTATAGTCAACCTGGATTAACACATGCACCAGTGACAAAAACATTACCTTTTCTTTACCAATCATTGCCAAACTCATTTCCATTTCAGATATTAGAATGTAGTCTTAATTTCCTAACATCTCTAGTACCACCCCCCCCACCACCATTTTCACAAGTGTGAAACAAACCAGAACACTAACATGACATCACCACCACCACCACCACAGGATGGAGACCCTCATGAAGATGGCTGAGACATTGGCTACAACAATGGGCTCGATTACAGCAACAGTGAGGGCGGTACAGGACCAGGAAGTTCCCTTCTATTGCACATAGACCACTTGGACTAGGCGCCTACTTGATGTCACCTGAGCACCAGCAGCAGCCACTGAGCGTCTCGGGCTTTAACAGGGCATTTGGAATGTTAACAGATGCTTAGCCACCAAATAAACAAATCAAGTGGTGTGTGGATAGGATCACTCCTCTGGGCCAGGAGTGGAGTGACCATGTGGTGTCACGAAGGGTCAACACTTTTCTATTGTGTCCATGGTCACTTTTACAAGTAGGTGCTGAGTTCCTATGCGAAGAATGAACATGTAAAGGAATGATTTCAAGATGACATGTCTTAAGGGCTCCAGTCCCTCCTAAAAAGGCCTCCTGGAGGGTGAGGAGTTGCACTTGCACTTCGGGTGAAGTATGCTGCTGAAAGTTTCCATTTGTATAGAAAAAACTTTCCAGATGAATAAAATTGATTGGATAAATTGGATCCAGACTGAATGCGGTCTGATAAGACTTTTAGGTCCGTTTTTGAGTAGGCTGACCCATAGGGAATCCGTGCACAACATAAAAACATTGCCTGGTCCTGCACCACCTTCACAACTGTTGCTATTACTTGAGCTATCGTAGCAGTCATGGTGTCCATCCATTTCAGAGGACCTTCCGCTTTCTTGCTTACCCCAGGTCTTTATCAGTGTGACGTTCTTCAAGGACTGGTTCCTTCCGTCCAGGTGGTCAGTCATTCTCCCCTCTAACAAGCATTTTGGCCGTACTTTTTCTAAGGCATATGAATAAATCCTACTAAGTAACAATACTGTGTTGACAAACTTTATTGAACATAATTTTTCATTAAAAATCAGTTGCAAAGCAAAATTACATTAGTAAAGTCAACGATAACATTTACGTTTTAAAAATGGGATCTTAACTGGAAAAGAGAGGAAGGAGTTTCACTCTGTCTCCTTCAATGCTGTATGCAATGTGTGTCTTAGGAAGCCCCAACACAGAATACTTATTAATATCCCTGTCCTTTAACCTCCTGGAGGTTATGGGATGGTGATGGGAACCTCTCTCTCTCTCTCTCACACACACACACCTCCTAACATTTCCTTTCTTTCAAATGACATGATACATAAGTAAATGGATAGTAGGAACATTATGTTAAATAAACCACCATAATCCCACCTGCTGCTAAATATTCTAATCAAGGTTTAGGGAATTTTAGGGTGAAAGGAAATGATATAGTAATTACTGGGGAATAACTGCAAGGCTATTAACCATTTGAATCTAATCCAACTCATAACACATTTACAAATTCTCCATTTGCTGCCACATTGCAGCTCCTGGCCTGTCACCCACAGAGGCCTATCTCCAATAGCCAGTCAGCTCTTGAGTCAGCAGGCGCTTTGAAGGGGTTGACAAGCCAGCTTCTGTGGCCACATTCTCCACATATTCCCAGAATCCAATCCAGAGCATTCCTGAAGGACAAGGACAGTCTCAGGAGAACAGGGTTTTCATTTCTACATGCCATATTAAGAAGCACAAAGGGCTAAGGTTTGCAGCTATTTTATTTACAAGTATACATTTAACACAATGAAATAAAATAAACACTGATGTACCAAGCTTAGTTTATAGTAGTGTAACAATAAGTATTTTGATGATTACATTATTTTAAACAACAAACTACACTGAAAAATTAATGCCAGTAAAATTCTTGGTCATAATATTATTAAGAAATACAATATATAAATTGAAAATATGATTGCTTAAAATTTGAAAATGGAAGTGAACTCATTTGGACAGTCAGAGTTTTAACATAATCTGAAAGTTGTGTGTGTGTGTGTGAGGCTCTGACCCAAATGATGTCTTTCAGGCTAACAGAAGAAAAAAGAAGCATAGTTTATCTTAAGGAAAGGAAAATGGGCAGTTTGCTTCTTCAGGCAAAGTATATCCCCAGTGTCCTCAGGTTCTGCAGTAGGATTACATCACTGAGCAGGAAGACTTTCCTTGTGAAGTTGCGCCATCAATTTTTTCTGCCTCCAAAATTATCCTTCTGAAAACATCAACAGCAGTCTAAAAAGAGAAAACCAATCACAGTGTTTGTAAGTTTTAAAGCATTATTGTTAAATGCTGTTGAGTTGATCCAGACACATGGTGTCTCTGTTGTGTGCACATGTAGAATTGAGCTTTAGGGCAGTGACCTTTGGGAACGGGACTGCCAGGCTTTTATTGTGAGGGGCCTCTGAACTGCATATCTTTAGGTCAATCGTTGAGGACGCAGTTATCTGTGCAGGCAGAACTGAAAGTCCAAGGTGTGCTTTGTCTGCCCAGAGCCAGTGTGCAGGCTGAGGGGTCACCTGAGCTCAGATGGATCCCTCTCCTCTCCCTCCCCTATTTTAACAGCTCCTCAATCAGCATCAGACTTGAGACCATTTGAATTAACCCCACAGTATAATTTCAATCCGTGTTTTCAAGAAGTTACTGTAATACGCCCAAGATTCCTCATTCACCCCCCTCTCTGCCATACTATTCCCTTCCCTTCGCTTCTACCTTCTGGAATTTCAAGGATGAGTATTAGCAAAATCCTCCTTCACTTTTTTTGCTATTTCCCCGGAAGATACTACTTTTTCTGTGCCTTTTCAAAAGGGAATGATTTCTCTCTCCTTTTCTTGCTATTTTAAGATTCAAGGTATGGTTGGGGCTCTCCTCAGGTCCTTTCCAATCTTCTCCCTAAAATCCCCAGCTTTGAACCTCAAGCCCTGACACATACTGATCATGTCTAACCCTCATTGTACCTAAACTCACTGCCATCAAGTTGATTCTCAGCCCTGGTGGTGTAGTGAGTAATGTGTTGGACGAACTGCTAACAGCAAGGTCAGCAGTTTGAAACCACCAGCTGTTCTGAGGGAGAAAGTAGAGGCTTTCCACTCCCCAAAGACTTCAGTCTTGGAGACCCGTTGTGGCTGCTCTGTCTTACAGGGCTGCCTATGGAGTACTAGTTATAGGAACATGCAAGCTTGGGCTACTTCCCAGGGTTTCCCCTGGCTCACTACCAGTCATGTTTCCACCATCACTCCAGGGGTACCACTACTTCTTTTTTTAAAAAAAATCATTTTATTGGGGCACATACAACTCATCAAAATCCATACATACATCAATTGTGTAAAGCACATTTGTACGTTCATTGCCCTCATCATTCTCAAAACATTTGCTCTCTACTTAAGCCCCAGGCATCAGCTCCTCATTCGCCCTGCCCCCTCTCCCTCACAAACCCTTCGATAATTTATAAATTATTATTTTGTCTTATCTTACACTGTCTGACGTCTCCCTTCACCTTGTTTTCTGTTGTCCGTCCCCTAGGGAGGAAGTTATATGTAGATCCTTGTAATCGGTTCCCCAGGGGTACTTCTTGGTTCATTTCATCCCACAAGCTATCCTTCCAATATTCTAGCCTCTCAGACACTTGTCCCATCCTCTTCTCTGATGACCTCAGTCTCTCATTTTTTTCCTAAGCAGTATTTTATTGTTTTATTAATTTTCTAACAGTTTTATTGGCATATAATTGATATACCATACAATCCAATAGTTCGATCAGAAGTAACTACTTTTAAAAATTAAGCTAAAAATTTTTTTTAAAGGTGGAAAAAAAGCTTTATTTGTTATTGTAGAGATATCTTTATTCACTCCACCTAGAGATCATTTCATCCATTGCTGTTTGGCAGCCAGTCTCTTGTCTCTCTCTTCAGCAATGGTGAGGCCGATACCTTTCCCTCGGGGAAGAGAAATCCAAGGTTTGTTGCCTTTTCCAATAACGAAAATGTTGGAAAGCTGGGTGGCAAAGCTATTGCCATTGGCATCTTTTACATGAACCACATCAAAAGAGCCAGGGTGTTTCTTTCTATTAGTGATCACACCAATTCTTCCCAGGTTAGCACCTCCGGTCACCATACACATGTTGCCTGTGTCAAACTTGATGAAATCAGTAATCTTTCCGGTCTCCAAATCAATCTGAATGTTGTCATTCCTTGATGAGAGGATCAGGATAGCAGATGGTACGAGCATCGTGAGTCACCAGGTGAGTGATCCCTTTTGTGCCCACAAAGACCTCTCTTACTTTGCACAACTTGTACTTCGCCTCCTCAGATGTAACATGATGAACAGCAAAGGGACCCTTGGTATCATATATCAGACAGAAATTCTCTCCGGTCTTGTCAATGGCGATGACATCCATAAGACCAGCAGGGTAGGTTATATCAGTTTGGACCTTGCCATCAATCTTAATGAATTGCTGCTTGTGAATTTTTTTAACTTAATCTCCAGTCAGGGCATACTTAAGTCTATTTCTTAAGAAAATGATCAGCAGGAGACATTCTCTCAGTTTGTGGGGACCACTGGATGGATGAGGAGCAAGCACACCAGTGAGTTTGTCCAGCATCCAATGCTTTGGAGCAGCTATGTGCTTCAGGTGCTTCCTGGGACCACGAACCATGGCAGCAGAGGCAGAGTAGTGAATTCATGTGGCAGAGTAGCGTACTGTACCCCTGGCGGCGAGACCGGAACCCAGTCTCTCACTCTTATGAACAAGTCCTATTACTCCTTCACAACAAGGAGTCATCATCTGAGGTACGAAATCCTCACACTAAATTATTATTAACTGTCATATTAACTGTCCCTGATGCTTGAATACCAATAGCACCTGTAGTCACTATGAGGAAAAAAATTCAAAAGCCTCTCCGGGAGGAGGAGGCAGTGTGTAGATATCATTACTAAACCTATAAGGAGCCTGGTGGTGCTGTCAGATAAACATTAGGCTACCAACCATAGGCCAGTGATTCAAATGCACTGCTGCTCCGAGGGAAAAAGATGAAGCCACTGGTTCCCATAAAGATTTACAGCCTCTGCATTAAGCAAATGTGGTGAAGAAAGCTGACGGTGCCCAGATATCAAAAGATATAGCGTCTGGGGTCTTAAAGGCTTGAAGATAAGCAAGCAGCCATTTGGTTGAGAAACAACACAGCCCACCTGGAAGAAGCACACCAGACTGTGTGATCGAGAGTTGTCGATGGGATTAGTTATCAGGCATCAAAGAACAAAAAATCCTATCCTTGTGAATGTGGGGGAGTATGGACCCAAAGCCCATCTGTAGGCAACTGGACATCCCCTTACAGAAGGGTCTCGGGGAGGAGATGAGCCAGTCAGGGTGCAGTGTAGCAACGATGAACATACAACTTTCCTCTAGTTCTTAAATGCTCCCCACCCCAACCCACTATCATGATCCCACTTCTACCTTACAAATCTGGCTAGACCAGAGGATGTATGTACACTGGTACCGATATGAACTGGAAACACAGGGAATCCAGGACAGGTGATCCTTTCAGGACCAGTGATGAGAGTGGCGATACCGGCAGGGTGGAGGGAAGGTGGGGTAGAAAGAGGGAACCTAGCACAAGGATCTACATATAACCTCCTCCCTGGGGAACGGACAACAGAAAAGTGGGTGAAGGGAGACGTCGGACAGTGTAAGACATGAAAAAAAAATTTATAAATTATCAAGGCTTCGTGAGGGGGAGGGGGAACAGGGAGGGAGGAGAAAAATGAGGAGCTGATACCAAGGGCTCAAGTAGCAAGAAAATGTTTTGAGAATGATGAGGGCAACAAATGTACAAATGTGCTTGACATGATGGATGGATGTATGGATTGTGATAAGAATTGTACAAGCCCCCAATAAAATTATTGGGGGAAAAAAAAAGATTGACAGTCTCAGGAATCCTATACAGGATCACTATCCTTCAGATTCAACCAGGGGAATCTACTGATGATTACACATCATTTTAAACAATAAACAATGGAAAAATTAATGCCAGTAAAACCTTGGCCAAAATATTAAGAAATACAATATACAAACTGAAAATATGTATCTGGTTTTTTGTTTTACTGTACTCCTATCTTGTAGCTCACTTTCTCCTTTCTTGAGCTCACTAATTTTTAACTCCATAGAGAACTAAAATTTCTCGATTGGCCTACATTTTCTATTCCTAAATCACTTCTTGTTTTTCTTGGCCAGCTTACATTCCACTGCTCACCACTGCTGTTCTTCAACTTCTTTCCATCACTTGCCACATGGGGTCCACAACCACATGCAGCTGAAGAAGGCTCACCCTTGCCTACTGTTTCCCCTTAAGCCCCTGACCTTGCATCTACGGTGATTCCTGGGGCTGCCCACAGTGAGACTGCAGTACTTTCCTAGCCTACTCACTCTCTCAGGTGACTGTTACATGCCCTGTCTCTTCAAACTTCCTCCCCACACACCCCATTCTTACACTCCAACTGGTAACCTTGCTTTCCACTTCTTTGGGGAAAGAGCAGCAGGGTTCATTTAATAACTACATAATCCCTTCATACAGTGAATTCACCCACTCAGCCTGGGCTCACCTACTCAGTGTTCTTTCCTGTTGGAATGAACGAGGTGCCTGTTGTCCTAATTAATATAAAGAGAATTCTAGCTCCTATCTTGTTTGGCCAATCAATAACCACCATTGCCAGCAATCCACACACCTTTCTATTTCCTTCTTTTTATCAACTTCCTCCCTTTTCCCGAGTTATATTAACAAGTTGTTACTTATTCTATTCTACAAAGATGCACAGTAAAATGTTTGGAAAAACACAAGAAAAAGTATCTCTGGAATTGGACTCTTCTATAAAAATCCAATGAACCCTGGTGGTGTAGTTGGTTTCATGCCGGGCTGTTAGCTGCAAGGTCAGCAGTTCAAAATCACCAGCTACTCAATCAGTCTCTGAAACCCACAGGGCAGTTCTCCTCTGTTCTATAGGGTCACTATGAGTTGGAATGGATTTGATAGCAGTGAGTGTGGGTTTTGAGAATATAAACCAAAGCCTTGGTTATCTATGTGATTTCACTCTGTTGATGTATTTTCTTATTCCTCAAACTGCTACAAGAAAATTGAAGATTTATCACGAGTAAATAAAACATAACTGAAAATTCACTACAGTTTACTGGTTGTCAAAAGAGATTCTATTACTGTGGAATTTTGTTATCAGTCAAGTTGACTGAACTCTTTCTTGGGATGGTTAATATGGCATCTTCGCTAAGTATACAAATTATGTGATACAGTAAAATTTAAAAACCGAGAACCCCCAAACTGGATGAGGCAGAATTGACTTTCATAAAGTTCATGAAAACATTCCATTATCTTTTAATTCAATTTTTACATGAATTTTCTGAAATCCCCTTGTGTACGTGTATATTTAAATTAGGAAAAAAAAATGCAGTTAGATGGTGCCCAGCTATCAAAACGTATAGTGTCTGGGGTCTTAAAGGTTTGTCTTAAAACAAGCAGCCATCTAAGTCAGTGGTTCTCAACCTTCCTAATCCTTTAATACAGTCCCTCATGTTGTGCGACCACCCCCCCAACCATAAAATTATTTTCTTTGTTACTTCATAAGTGCAATTTTGCTACTGTTGTGAATCAAGTAACCCGTGAAGGGGTCGTGACCCACAGGTTGAGAACTGCTCATCTAAATGGTGTCAACTAAGTCCACATGGAAGGAGCACACCAGCTTTGTGATTCAAGGATCATAATAAAATCCAAATCTGCAGTGGGGCGGGGGGTGGGTTGTGTGTGTGTGTGTCATCAGAGCTTAAATTGTGAGCATTTAGTTTTCAGAAGGCTATGGATGACAGTGGAAGCCCCAAATCCATTTGCAGGGTCTCCACACAGATTGTCTCTAGTGAAGGAAGCCCTCTGACCATAGTCCAGGGATGTGAACAGCCTTATCAGACAGTGAGTATTGTGAATTTTATTGTGGCCGATGCAGTTAGATTAAAATGGAGTATGATTTGATCTCCCTTTGACCCATTTTAAAGTTTCGGGTTAAAAAAAGATTGAGGGGAAATATACGGAGTCACCCTTCAGTGAACCCCCTCTGACCACTGCCCAGGGATAGGAGTAACCATACTATCTATCATGCAGAGTGCACTGGAATGCGGATGATGGCAGAGGTCGTTAATTTGATCTCCCTTTTGACTCATTTTAAATTTTGCTCTACATCTTAGTATGTTCTGCTTTCTTTTCGATGGGCAGTGTTCTGTTTTACATTGCTATTGTTGCTAATTTTTTTGTTCTTTTTGGGGGCTATGTTTTTCTGTTTATGAAATCCAGGATAGGTAAATAAATCTATAGACATAATAACTGGATTAATGGTTTCTTGGTAGTACAACAGGGGAAGCTGGGGGGGGGGATGGGGAGCTAATAATGAGTACAGAGAAGATGATAATGGTCTAAAATTGATTATAGTGATGACAGTACACTCTTAAGATGCCTGTATTATTGGACCGTATCATAGGTGCATAATATGCCAATTGCTCACTGCCACTGAGTGAGTCTATTCTGACCACAGTGACCCTACAGGACAGGGTAGAACTGCCCCTCTGGGTTTCCGAGCTGGTAACTCTTTACAGTAGAGCACCTCATCCTTCTCCTGTAGAGCAGGCTGGTGCTTTTGTCCTGCTGACCTTATGCTTCGCAGTGCCATGTGCAACCCACCACACCCCAGGGCTCCTCAGATGCCAAAACAACGGTTTTAAAAAAATGCTGTCAAGACACGCACAGGTTGATCCCCCAAACCAACCAACCCGGTTTAAACATGTCTTAGATTAGCAAATGACTACAGGCAAATTCTTTTAGTAATATAGTTGTCTTGGTCTCATTAGTTTGCTTACACAAAATACAAAGGTTCAATTAAAACGGTGGCTTCCAAGGAGAACTGCTAGGTCAGTTAAATACAAGGCAGAGAGGTCAACTCAGAAGGTTTTGGTGACTGCTCTCTTTGGATCCCAAAGGGTTATCATTACAGACTTCCTCAAAGGACACAGAAGCATCATTAACACGTTTTAAGAAAATGGAAAACTGCATCAGTGAGAAAAAAAGCCAGGAAAGTTACACTGAGGAGTAGTTTTCCATCATGACAACGCACCTTCCATCTGGAATCAGCATCTATTAATTAACATCTTTGCTAAACATGTTTGCCTTCTCTGTGTCTGGTATTAGAAATGGTGGAAGGCTAGAAATGAATCAGGAAAGAGAGAGGAAGGAGCAAAATTGGGCAAGAGGAGCAAATGGGCGGGGGGTGGGGTGGGGGGTGGCAGAAGCAGTGTTAATTCAGTTTCAAAACAGATACCTGATTCTCTTTAGCAGAAGATTCCAAAAAAGCTGCATTCCAAGATTCTGCTAAAGCTTTCCCTTCTTCGTAACTGATCACCCTGAAGGAAAAAGGAATTCTAATTAAAGTTATGTTATTTTACAAAACAGTATGAAATAGCAAAACTTTTTCATCTTTTTCTCTCATGAAACAGAATTATGTTCTCAATATCATGATGAAATATGTAACAGAGAGGCACACCTTAATCATGCTAACGGTGGGGAACATACTCGACATTATCTTACAGGGCTAACCACGTTCCAGCCAAGCACTTCCTCTAGTACTTTAACGTTTGTAATAACCCACTCTTTGAGAGAGAGCCTTTAAACACGCGGAAACTTCTGAAACACTCCCAACTCCACTCGGCTATACACATGGCAGGCAATTCAGCTAGTAAAAGTGACTCTCTCTCTAGAAATGGGGTTAACTTTAACCTCTCTTACTAAAAATAAATAAAATTGGCTTGAGCAAATGAATCTTGTTCAGATTTTCAGAGTTTGCCTTAGGCAAGCTGGTAGGGGGGAAAAGGATAATTTAAAAATGTTCTTGTCTAGAGTAAACACTTTGAAGGTATGTGAGATTTATATAGTAGTTGTGCTTGTGCTGTGTATAATCAGTCATAGTCTTCAACACAAATAACACATACACTAGGGATAAAAATATTCCTGCTGTAATAATCTTAAAATGGGAGTTTCTGTGATTACACCATTTAACATTTAAGTTTATAAATCAGTATCATCATTTAAAAGCTGCATACCTTTCCATATGTAGATCTTTCTTATTTCCCACCAACATAATGGGTATTCTGTTAATATATAAAGGAAGGAAAACCCGGTTAAAATAGTTAGCACTAGATCTTACTATTCAGAAGGAAGTACCATAATCAACTGATCTAACGATACAGAGAAAGAAAGATTACTACTTACTGAACTTTCCCCACCATATCCAACAATTTGCCATGGATAACTTTAATCACCTCAAAACTGTAAAACAAGAAGTATGAAATCAGACATCTATTTTATTCTTTAAGCACTCATTAAATTTTTTTTGAAAAGTATGTTACATATTACTGGCGAGAAAAATGTAACGTCATACTCTTTATTTTAATACGAAATAAATGGAATACAAGGAATTGCTTTTTCCTACCAATCTTACACACACACATACAGCAATAGTAATCCTTATCAATGGGGTCCTGAGTGATGCTTGAAACCTCTCAGAGGTACTTAGGAGAAGGGCCTGGAGATCCACTTCTGAAAACAGAGTACAGAGTACTTTCACTGACACAACCGGGGTCACTATGAGCAGGGGTGAGCATGACAGCAGCGCCTTTATTCTCTGCTCTATCAACAGAGGGAAGTTACAGTGGATAAAACAGAGGCACTGCAAAGTGAAAGCACTTGTCCAGAGTTGTCCACTGTTACTAGGGGTAAACAAGAACCCAGACCATGCTCAAATCTCAGCCATTTCCCATTTCTAGAAACTAGACATCAGATGTCTCTGCTGTGTGTGGAGCCCTGGTGGCACAGTGGTTCCACATTAGGATTCGCTCCTCAGGGTCAGTGGTTGAGACCACCAGCCCCTCCTCCAGGAAGAAGATGGACCGGGACTTTCAGCTCTCAGAAACCCCCAGGGGCAATTCTACCCTGTCCTACAGGGTCACTATGAGTCGGCATCGATTCAATGGCAGTGGGAGAGTGAGTTGTTTTGTTTAGTGAGTGAGGAGGAGTAAGTCTCTAAGAGTTGAGTAAGAATGATCTGAAACTTTTGTTTCTTCTTACAAAATAATGGAACAACGGTCAAAGTTTAAATGGGGGCTAAATTCAACCAAGAAACATAGTTCTGATCAACAAATTAGCTTATTCAGAAACTTTGATTAACGTATTTCTCCTCTATTCACACATATCTATGTACTCAGTATATACTCAAAAGACTCCCTGCCATCAAGTCCGTTCTGATGCAGCATATAGGTTCCAATGAATCTGAACAAAACACCACTCTTCCTTTATTCCCTCACATCTGAGATTTAGTTACTGAGTGCATGTTAACCTACGAATTACTAAGCTGAATGAATGCCCACAGCTATGATTTGATTCTGATTCACAGTTCCTCTACAAGACAGAGCACAACTGAGTTTCTGAGGACATATATCTTTTCAGAAGCAGACCACCTCATCTTCTTTGGGCAGAACAGCTGGTGGGTTTGAACTATTGACCTTGCAGTTAACAGCTTAGTGCTTTAACCCTGGGCCTTCATTTAAGAAGCCTTTAAAAACCAAATCAAATCAAACATATTATTTTAAGTAAAGAGAGACAGGCTCAGAGATGGTAGACAACTTTTTGCCTCTTTGCTATGAAATTAAGGAATAGGTTCCTCACACCTACGAAGTTTTTGTTAGGTAACTTTTTATTTTATAATACCTTAATTAATTTTTCAATTTTCCTAGTGATAAATGCTGTCTTTTAAACTTGATTTTTAAATGTCAAATAAATGTGCACCAAAAATAGGATTGACCAAAAACAAGGGTGTGGGGGAGGGGGATGAAAAATCAATGGATGCATCAAGAACATCGTCTGCCAGCTATTTTAATTCTTTAGACTAACAATTTGTAAAGAAGCCAATATTAATAATTTTCTAAAAATCAGAGTAAAATAAACTTTAGAGATAACGAAACCACCTTGATGAACTGTTTTTCAAGCAGTTATGTGAACTAGTAGAAATTCAAAAACTCATTGTAGATCATTGTGATTGGTTTCCTCCTTACTGATCACAATGATCTTCATATGACCCCCTCTCTCTGGGGGAATGGACAACAGAAAAGTGGGTAAGGGAGACATCAGACAGTGTAAAACATGACAAATTAATAATCTATAACTATCAAGGGTTCGTGAGGGAGGGGGGAAAATTAGAAGCGGGTACCAAGGGCTGAAGTAGCAAGAAAATGTTTTGAGAATGATGAAATGTACTTAGTGTGACCAAAGAATAGAATTTTAAATTTTATGTAACTTTCAATCACCCCCAGGTGGCTAGTGGCTATCATATGGGGCAGTGCAGAGAGAGAGTATTTCTATCACCATAGTTCTACTCAACCATACTGGCTTTGACTAGGTAATCAGAAGCCTGGATATCATCTCAGCAATGCCACACTGTCCACACAACCTGGGCAAGTTACTGACCCTTTTGTCACTCGGTTCCTATGTAAAGCAAGATCTCTGGCAAAGGCCTATTTAAGTTAATGGTTAATATATTAGTATGCGTGTCAAGAGCAGAGTAAACTTGTTGGCATGCCACACTCCACAGAAACTAGACATTTACAAAACTCCCCTCCACTGACACCAAATTTCCATGAATTCTTTAGACATGTCTGCTCAGTGCTAAGAGTTCTGCAACATGGACAGCTTTGCTCAGAAACCAAGCACAGGCCACGTGACATGTTCTACTTCCTTACTGCAGCATATACTAACTCCTGAGAAAAGCATGCACAGAGGAGCCAAAATCGAGTATCACAATCAAAAGTAGGTACGCCGTTTTATGCAGCAAACGGAGGCTGTTATTACTCAACATAATACTCTGATTTCATAAATTCAAAGGATAAAATATTGAAGTCACAATAATGCTACAATTGTATTAGGAAATCCATTCCACATTTTATGGTCTAAACTCAGTCACCAAGTCAATTCTGATTCACAGCCATCTTATGGGTCAGGGTAGAACTGCCTTTGGGTTTCGGAGACTGTAATTCTGTACAGGAGTAGAGCTCCCTCATCTCTAGCCTGATGAGTAGCGACTGGTTTCAAACCTCGGACCCTTCTCACTAGTAGCCCAACACATAACCCCCTTTAAGCCACCATATCTCCTGTACATTATATGGTAACAACACATAAACGCTAAAATTTCTATATTTACAATTTCCATTAGCAAAGTTAATGTCAGAGAAACTTTTAATCTATTGCTATAAAAGGACACCCACCCAGACAATATTATTTTTAAGACACTTGGTTCCATAATACATGCAAGCTCTATAAAAATAATTAGTTTAATACTGGGAGCATAATCCTTGAAAAGAATTAATGCAATATGTAGCAAATAAAAATCCACAAATATGAGAAGTATACCTTTTGATTGATGTAACAGAGTACACAAGAATATAACCATTGATGTCTATAGAGTATGTCTGAGGAAAGATGGAATATTCATCCTATGGAAGAAAAAATATATGCTTAGCAAATACCTTTAGTAAATATACCATAACAAGCAACCATTACCCAAACTTTTTTTTTTTTTGCAGGCTCAATTCACTTTATTACTTTTTTGTATAAATTGACTATGTGGTAGCCACAGTTGGAGCCTGGGTCCTCTGCATGGAGACTCTGGTGTGGGTCTTCACAAGATGGTCAGTGAATTCCTGGTAGGGAGACTTGGTGAACATTGTCTCTTTCCAGAGGTCAGGGGTCAGATAGCTGTAGGTCTTGGAGATGGCATCAAAGGTGGCTTTGGCGAAGTTGCCCAGGATGGCTGTGCAGCCCCTAGCTGAGGTGTAGCAGTCATCAATCCCTGCCATCATCAGCAGTTTCTTGGGCACAGGGGCTGAGACGATGCCAGTACCCCTGGGGGCAGGGATGAGTCGCACCAACACAGACCCATAGTGGCCGGTCACCTTGCAGGGGACCATGTGGGGCTTGCCGATCTTGTTGCCCCAGTAGCCTCGCCGCACGGGGACAATGGACAGTTTGGCCAGGATGATGGCCCCTCGGATGGCAGTGGCAACTTCCTTGGAGCACTTGACACCCAGGCCAACGTGGCTGTTGTAGTCCCCGATGGCAACAAAGGTCTTGAACCTGGTCCGCTGGCCGGCTCAGGTCTGCTTCTGCACAGGCATGATCTTTAGGACCTCGTCCTTGAGAGCCAGCCCCAGGAAGAAGTCAATGATCTCAGACTCCTTGATGGGCAGGGAGAACAGACAGATCTCCTCCAGGGACTTGATCTTCATGTCCTTGACCAGACGACCCAGCTTGGTGACAGGGAGCCACTCCACTTGTCTTCGGCTTTGCCCCTGAGAGCTCCGTGGGTGCGACCATGTCCTCGCAAGCCGCTGCCGAAGCCTCCGCGGAAGCCACTGGGAGCTCCGTGTCCCGGGCGCCTGGGCCTCCAGGCCCTCCCGCTGCATCAGCGTCATCCGCCATTTGGTATTTTCTCGGAGAAGAAGCTACCCAAACTTTTTCACTGACCAAATCAGCATACAGTAGATTACAAATAGTTCCTGATTTACATCATATCTGAGTTATGACAAACTTTTAACCTACTGTTTCTTTTTCTTAGTACATTTTATTGTCAGTAATATGTCAATAATATGCAATTTTGCAAGTGCTGGTCTTATTCTCAGATGTTCATTCGCACATTTTTAATGTTATGATTTATTGTCAAACACTGTTGCATAGCAACCTACAAAAGGCAACATTGCTCAACTCTTCTTGTCACCACTGTAAAATGGGAGTTGTCAGAATGGAATCTGATTGTAAGTTGGAGACTACCTGCACATCACTCCCTAACACAAAAACATAAAAAACACTGAAGATTTTTACAAGACTGGTTTTGGGTGATGATGTGTTTGAAAACCAATATTCAGATTTTATTATTCTAACTGATGTAGGACTTCAGTAGGCACAAACCTATAATTCTTCTAAGACAAGAAGGGAAGGCGGCAACAGATAAATGGGTCAGAGATCTTTGATCAAGGCAAAAACATTGTGTTTCTTTTATGAAGGAGATGTCCAGAATCCATTAGATTTTACTATCATTTAACCTATTTGACAAGCCCAACCACTTCTGTGTATGTTAGTTTCACTGGCAACATTACCAGCATTATGAGCGTGGAAGGAAAAGAAAGTCAGAACACTGCACTAATCAATACACTCAAGACTTTTGAACTCTATGTACAATTCCAGAGCACTTTGGAGTTAAAAATTATAGACACAAAAGGCAGCACTCAAATGTTATCTTCTATTCTAATCAGACCTAACTTTTTATGGTCCAAGTTCTCTTAAGATAAAACCAGCTCATTTTTATCCTGGAGCTTTGCTCCTGTTGTTTCCCTAGACAAGACTTACTTTTAATCTTAATGTAAGAGAATATGTGTTAAAACTAGAAAACCACTATTCTGTAATAAATAAAAACCCTCACAATGTAAACATACTTTCAACAATTCTAAAGTAGAAAAACAAATATAGTTGACTCTTGAACACCATAGGTTTGACCTGCGTGGGCTCACTTGTACATGGATCTCCTCCCCTCTGTGGCGAGTGTGGTGAACTCGCATGCTGGGATGGTAATCATCTCTGTGTCAGCAGTCCATCTCCTCTTCAGGAGTTTCAGCAGATATTCCTAACACTTGCGCTCACCAGAACAGCATATTTCAAGCATGTGTTGGTGGAGGGTCAACTGTATTAAGATTTCGAGACACTACAGAGATCACATACCTGCCCAGCTGTGTCCACAAGTTGAAGATGATATTCTTGTCCATTTACTGTGATCAACTTTGTAAAGGCTAATAGAAAAGAGAAAATTAAATATATAAAAACTCAGATCTTTTAAAGCTTGAAAGAAATTGAAATTAGGGAACCATTTACATCCTAGAAAAGCAATCTGAATGTGGGCAGTCTTTCTCATGCCAAAAGTGAAATATAAGGTCTATAGACTAGAAAGAATCAAAAGCACAAAATGGTTTGGTTTATGAAAGGTCTGTTGTCAGAGCAAAGTGGTAACATTCACTGAAGCATTAACTATCGGTATATAAAAATTAACCAATTTATTAAAAGATAAAATGGCAATGGAACAGATGTTCTGTGTTAAAACCATCATACCCACTCAATTTATGAATTCTAGCTATTTGTCACAACTTTTTTTTTCCTATCAAGGGGAATAAAATCAGACTTAAAATAACTTCCGGAAAAGTCCATTTAGAATTCTAAGGAGATAGACTTTAAACAAATATAGACAAAAGAGTAGAGAACTATTAACAGCAACAGAATATTCAAAGTAACCATCTGGACGCCTGACAGCTAAATAGAACATACTGCTTCTGTGTATCCTATGCAACCATCATGACTCATAGAATGGAAGAATCCTCCACCCCCGCTAGCTGTCCATTAATGGATGACAGCCTGGCAGCAGAAACTACTCTGGCACAGGGAGAGAGAACCCACTTCTGCCCACTCTGTCCCATAAACAGAAGGCAAACCACAAACACAGAGAGGGAAAGTATTCTAAGTGACAAAGGCAGATAAATCTCATTTGAACTACGAGTTCCATAGGAACTCTCCACATAGAGAGATAGCCGAGAGAAGGAACAGCCAGAGAACTGCACTGGAATCCTACTTTATTGATCCAAGTAGGGGTGCTACAGTCAGCTGAATACAGGTGACACCAGACTACTAAAGCAAAAAAGTGCATGGCCCCAGAAATGTGTCATTTGTCACTGCCAAACCTTTTCTGTTCCTTTTGTAGAAATTATCATTTGAAGGAAACAGTTAAACCAGATGAAAATATCAAAGTAAGTCTCTGGTGATGGGGAATATCCAATGTCACACCTATTTCATCCATCGAGACCTTTGCATCCTGACTTTTGGCAAAACGACCAAGTAGGCAGACAAGCTATATAGGTACTCTCTATCAAAAACACGAGAGAGAATAGAACAGATACAGAGAATAATGCTGGAACCCTGAGCTTCAGAGGAAAATAGGACAGAATTGGATTTAATATTGAGTAGGAGAAGCAGCTGAAGTGAAGTGGTTAAAGAGGCGATATAAGGAAAAATTGTCCACTAGTCTGACGCAGTAAGATCATGTTTAACTTTTACAAGTAGCATTTCATCCAGACAGTGGCCTGGCATCAGTAGCTGGGAACAAGAAAGCAACTGTGTCCATACTGCCCAGCCCTGCCTGTATCTTCTATAGACACATCTACAGGGTGAATGCTACTCTACCACCTCATCAACAGCTGAAAACACCAACCCAACTGGCTTACCAAGGCAGACTTAGCTACCACCACTGCTGAGGGCCTCATTTGCCAGCAGCAGCAGAGACTAGCACCAAGATAGGAAACCATTCCGGGGGAGATCACCTAACAGGGTAATTACATAGGAACACTTCTACCATGAAAAGGGCAGTCACTCCTTCTTCCTGGAAGACACTTACTCTGGATACAGATCTGCCTTGCCTGCACATGCTTCTGCCCCAAACTATTATTCATAGACTTATAGAATGTCTTATCCACCACATAGGATCCCATACTGCAGAGTTGAGTGAAGACTTACTTCACAACAAATTAAGTGAGGCAATGAGCCTATATTAATGGAATCCACTGCTTTAAAATGTTCCCCTCATCATGCTGAAGCAGCTAATGTGATAGAATGATGGCTTTCTAAAGACACAATTATCGTGCCAGGGAGATGACACTATCTTGCATGGTTGGGGCAGGCAATGTTCTCCAGGAGGCGGTGTATCCTCTAAATGAGCACCAGCACCCAATACATAGTGCTATTTCTCCAATGGTCATGACTCACATGTTCAGGAACAAAGGGGTAAAAACGAGAGTGGAGCCATTCACCATCACACCCACTTCCATTTTTGTTTTCTGCCCCTAAGACCCTACGCTCTTTGGGTCTGGAAGTCTTAAATTTAAAGAGATGAAGAATCCCATCTGGAGACACAACATTGATTCCATTGAATTACAAGTTCAGAATGCTTTCTAGCCACCTTCGGCCCCTAACACCTGTGGATCCAACATACAAAGGAGCATGTTATTCTATTGAGTGGTTTTACTGATCTTGATTCCAAGCCAAAAAGCCAAACTCACTGCCACCGAGTCAGTTCCAACTCCTAATGACCCTGAAGACCAGAGCAGAGCTGCTCCGGGGGCTTCATCTTTCTCCTAATGGTTTTGAACCCTGACCATGCTGTGAGCAGTTCAACTCATAACCTACTATGCCACTGGTGCTACATAATGCTTTGGTTAAAAAAGCAAACCAAGCTGGACTATGGCAGATGTGGCTAGGTGAAAATTTAACACCTTGTCATATGACTTCCCTTTTTTGATCCATTTAAAATTTTTTAATATTTTATACTTTTTTTTGCTTAAGGTTTTTCTATTTTATTTTGATATTGTTGCTGGCCTTTTTCTTTGTTTTTTTGGTATATAAAATCCAAGATAGGTGAATCTAGACAGTTACTGGATTAATGGTTTCTTGGGGCATGGCAGGGAGGTTGGGGGGAAAATGAGGAGCCAATAACCAGGAGTACAAGAAAGAAGAAAATGTTCTAAAATTGATTTTGGTAATGATTATACAACTCTTCTTGATATGACTGAACTACTAAATTTTATGATATGTGGATATGTCCCCCCAAAAAATGGTAAAAAAAATGCCAACTAACCAAATAGCCCCCAAACTTCCTATTGTCTGCTATGGGAGAAAGAATTCCCTTTCACCCTTTTCTCTTTGGCTCTGGGACTTCCAGGCCATGCACCTGAGACTTTGTGCTGGTGAATAGGAACTGGCAAAACAAACAAAAACTCACACAGAGGCCAGTGCCAACTAATGTCAGGAGGCAAGACTGAGCTGTCTATCATGCCAGACTAGCTGACACAAAAGCCCTGACAGAAGGCTGAGACCACCTCGGTTGATTAGAACATTTTATCTTAGGAGGATAGCATGCTTCTTGGGACACAGAACCTTTGCATTGGGAACTCTCCCAAATCATGTCCCATGCATCTCTTTCATTTATATCCTTTTTGGTTATGATAAATCTATAGTTGTATGTATGGTACACGCTTGGGTTCTGAGTCATTCTGGCAAATATCAAGCCTAAGAGGGAGTAGGAACCAATAAATCAGAAAGTAAGTTGTGTCGATTTTTGAGCTTACAACTGACATCTTGAAGTAGAGTAAAACAAGCCCCCAATCTGGGGTCAGCATGTCTGACGACTGAGGTATCATGTGGACAAACCACACTTGTGGTTGGCACCTGCCTATTTGGCACTGGTTTGTTGTTAGACCCTGTGATTCTATCCTTTGATTGCTATAACACTATAATGAAAATTGTTGTACACATTTGAGACTTCTGTATACATCTAAGAATGGAATTGCTGAGGCTCATATGGTGCTTCTTAACCTTTTGAGGAATCATCAAACTGTTTTCCACCACAGTTGCACCATGCTACATTTGCACCAGCCATCTAAGAGTGCGGAGATCTCTCCTCACCAACACTTACTGACAAGAGTCATCTTGCAGGTGGGAAATGATTATTTATTGTGGTTTTGATTTGTACACCTTTATGAGGAGAAAGACGAGGCTTTCTACTTCTGTAAAGAGTTGGTCTCAGAAACCCACAGCATTGGTTCTTCATTTGCATAATCTATAGTATATCCGCAGTGTGGCCCAGGACCACATAAAAAGTATTAAAGTCTGTTTTTGTTGTTGTTGCTGCCGTTGTTTTGTTTTCTTTTGTTGCTTGGTTTTGCTCTGTCTTGTTTTTGAGCATATTATTATCTCTGCAGGTCTATCTAGATAAGATAAGCAGGATAAGCAATCTGGAGGAGAAAACAATGGGACCGATGGTTCCTGGGGGACATGGAAGAGGGGGAAGTGGGGGAAAGGAAGTTAACCAAATCAGGGACAAGGGAAGAAGTGATCCAAAATCTGTAGCGAGGAGGGTGTAAGAGGCCTGGCCTGGTAGGGCTTGATTAAGGGCAATGTAACTGAGAGGAATAATTGAAACCCAAATGAAGACTGAGCATGATAGTGGGACAAGAGGAAAGTAACAGGAAATAGAGGAAAGAACTGGAAGGCAAAGGGCATTTATAGAGGTCTAAATATATGCATGTACATATGTAAATATATTTATATATGACGATGGCAAAATAGATCTATGAGCATATATTTATAGGTTTAGTATTAAGGCAGCAGAGGGACATTGGGTCTCCACTCAAGTAGTCCCTCAATGCAAGAACACTTTGTTCTATTAAACTGGCATTCCTTGATGCTCACCTTCCCAACACAAAGCGGGTGCAAAAGCAAATGTGGTGAAGAAAGCTGATGGTGTGCAGCTATCAAAAAATACAGCATCTGGGGTCTTAAAAGGCTTGAAGATAAACAAGCGACCATTTAGGAAACTGAACACCCCCTTATAGAAGGGTCTCAGGAAGGAGATGAGCCAGTCAGGGTGTAGTGCAGCAATGATGAAACACATAACTTTCCTCTAGCTCTTAAATGCTGTCCCCCCTCCCACTATCATGACCTGAATTCTACCCGATGAATCCGGCTAGACCAGAGGATGTACACTGGTACAGATAGGAACTAGAAACACAGGGAATCCAGGACAGATGAACCCCTCAGGACCAGTAGTGAGAGTGGTGATACTGGGAGGGTGGAAGGAAGGTGGGGTAGAAAGGGGGAACCAATTACAAGGATCTACATATAACCCCTTCCCTAGGGGACAGACAACAGAAAAGTGGGTGAAGGGAGACACCAGACAGTGTGAGACATGATAAAATAATAATAATTTATAAATCATCTAGGGTTCTTGAAGGAGGAAGGATGGGGGGAAAATGAGGAGCTGAAACCAACGGCTCAAGTAGAAAAAAAAATTTATTGAGAATGATGATGGCAACAAATGTACAAATGTGCTTTACACAATGGATGGATGGATGGATGGATTGTGAAAAAGTTGTATGAACCCCCAATAAAGTGATTTAAAAAAAAGTATTAAAGCCATTAAGTTGTTCTTGAGTTTACCCAGTAAATGTCAATCAACACGGACAAAGTGACAGACCCTCTGGGGTGGAAAACTATGGCAAAGGCAACTCTTTGTGGCTTAGAGAAAAGACTCCCAACCGGTTTTCTCCAGGAACTAAGGCAAAAGGAGACATAAAGGAACTTATTATGTGCAGTTTGTATGTTCTAGGAATTTATCCATTTGGTGTAAGTTATCAAGTAGGCTGCCTAGTTTTGTTTACAGTTCTCTCATGTTCCTTTAATTTCTGTAAAGCCATGAGTGGCACAGTAAAAAGAGAGACAAAAACACCATTAAAGACCAAGTACTTGTATTAGATTTCTTAAAATAAAAAACGTGATCAAGGATGTTAGCAGTTTAAAGAAGCAGGTGAGAGCGTATCAAGCTATTCAAATTTGACTGTTTCTGAGGAAATAATAATATAAAGAAACAACCTATAGGGGAACAATTTATGTGACACTGTAAGTAACTTTCCTTCTAGCCCAATCTTAAATTGCACAAATACACCCAATTATAAAAACTACTTTTATGGGCAAAAGTTACAGTAAAACTGATTTTCTATTATTCTACAGAGTAAAATTCCCAAATGAGTATTTCTTTAAAGACATAAAATCTTAAATGGCTATGTATACCAAATATTAAGACCAACAATCATATCTTTCTTCTGATATCATTCCAATGTAATGATAATTTAACTTTCTCATACAGCTTTCCAATTAAAATGGTCACCTACACAACACAACATAGCATGTAATCTGGACTCCTCATGCAGATACTGGTAGAGGTTACATGCAAACAGTGGAGTCTTCCCAAAGTTAGTGTAACAGCCAATGGGCTTCTCTCCCTCCCACTGGCATATGGAAAATACAATGGAGAGCTGAGAATTCTAAGACAGAGGGCGGCAACTTTTCCTTTAAAGAGTTTATTGTTGTTAAGTGCTAGAGTTGATTTTGTCTGTTGACCCCATGTACCAGAGTAAAATAACCCCTTTGAATTTTCTAGGCAGTAATATTTATATGAGTAAATCGCCAGTTTGTTATCCATGAGAAAAGTGAGGGGTAGGTTAGTGGCCAATCACTAAACCATGGTGCTACCATGACTCTTTGGTAAAGAGCAGATTTTATCGTAATCTTTGTTGCAAATACTCAATCTTTGACATTATAGCACAAATGCAGCCATAGTCAATATGCAAACAAATGAGCATGTTAATATTCTAAGACAACTTTATGAGACATAAAATTTGAATTTCATATAATTTTAACCTGTCAAACGTTCTTCTTTTGATGTTTTTCAAATATTAAAGAATAACCATTCTTAGCTCATGGACTATATAAAAATAACTACTCCCTGTAACGCCTACATGAACATGCAACAGTTATTTATATACAAAAGGAAAGCTACTGTTAAAAATTCTTGAAAACAATACTTACTGTTTTCTATGGTTGGATCGTAGGAATCAACAAATTGGCCTTCAACAAACTGTATTGTCAATGAAGATTTCCCTATAACAGAAGAACAACAGGTCAGTATGTATTGGCGTATTATGGTTAAAAAGCATACAACTCTACTGTTTACCCATAACGAAAAATACAGTATGTGATCAGATTAAAAAATGAAAGTATTAGAATCAGAAAAATACTTCTTTATCAATTGCGTAGTTTCAAAAAAGAAAACAAATTCCATGAATTTGCATTACATGGAAGGAATATAAGCACCTATGTTATTAGGAATTAAACACTTCTGTGACACTAATATTAGCCAACAAGCACAGAAAATATTGTTAGAGGTAAACTTTTAGACATATGGTTAGTAGAACTGGTACCAACAGATATAACGTTTAAAGTAGATAACTTGAAAATATTTAACAATGCTTCAAAACAAAAACTCTTTGAAGGCAGAAAACTTAACTTGAAAATATTTAACAATGCTTCAAAACAAAAACTCTTTGAAGGCAGAAAACTTGTCTCAGTCATTCAGGAGTATATGTCTAATTATGATATCAAGTTGGTTCTGGCTCATGGAGAACATGTGTGCCAAAACATCTCTATGCTCCAGAAAGCTGGGAAGCAGGTTACCAGGTCTTTCTTTGGAGTGACCTCTGGATAGACTCAAGCCTTTCAGTTAGTAGCTGAGTACATACACCATGTGCACCACCCAACGATTGTCTGGTATAGACCAAACAAACAAACAAACAAACAAACAGAGACTCATTAGCAATATTTCGGTCTCCCATTCCCTGATCCAGTCTATCTCTAAAGCAATGTTTTTTTTTTTCCTTTTTGTTTAAAAAAATTTTTTTAATAACTAATTTTATTGGGGGCTCTTACAGAAAAGCAATGTTTTTCAAACCAGGGTTGTGAGCCAGTACTTTTTAAGACATATGTGTGTAGAGTACTTACAATGGCTCTACACACATATTTCTGACCACTAAACTGCCAAGGGAACCAGCACAAATCCTGAGAAAATAAGAAGGGCTCCCTGACCATTCTTCCTGATAAACCTGAGACGGTAGGACTATGGAAAAGAGGTCATTTGGAGGCAACACACGATATTTAAAGAGCTTGGCCATGGGGTATCTTCTTCAGAACTAGTTAAGCTTTTCTTTTTTTGTCTTTTCCCATTCAGGCCTGTTGGATCAATAAATTAAAAAAAAGAAAAAGGAAAATCCCTGGCATTACCATAAAATGTGTCTTGATACCTTCTCTCTGGAAGGAATCAAAGGCTTTCAACAGCACTAAGAATGGGTGTTCCAGACGGCCTCATTGTGCTCATGAGGAACTGAGACTTAGATCAAGAGGCAGTCATTGGAACAGAACGAGGGAATATGCATGTGTGCGCCAGGGCTGTATCCTTTCCCCATATTTATTCAATCTGTATGTTGAGTAAATAATGGGAGAATCTGGACCATATGAAGAAAATCTCAGCACGAGGAATGGAGGACACATCCCTGCTTGCTGACAGCAAGGAGGACTTGATGAAGACCAACTGCAGCCTTCAGAGTCAACTTCAACTCACTGTAAAAGAAAAACAAAATGCTTGCAAACAGTACAGATAGATAAACATCATGATAAATTGAAAAAATATTTAAGTTTTCAAGGATTTCATTTTTGCTTGGGTCCACAATCAATGCTCAGGAAGCAGCAGTTAAGAAATCGAATGTTGACTTCCACTAAAAAAATGGCAGTGCAGACAAATGTGTTACTTGTTCCCTCTACAATAAAGAAGCTGCACGGTACAGGCTGAGGAGAATGGTGGGCCCTGGATATTTCAGGAAAGGGTAGCTGAGTGAGCGGAATACACCTGTGGTGCAAGGAGCTAAAGACTCCACCAGGGGTCGCTGTGAACTCTCCACTTGCTGGGATTGAACAGCTCCACTTGGAATTGCTGGGCAAGCTCTAGCGGGATAACCAGAAAGGACAACTGTGACTTACCTCTCTGGCCAACTAACAGCAGAACCCACAGAGATCGAGGTGGGCACCCTTCTCTCCGGTCAGTAATGACTGTGTCATACCTGGTGTACTCATTGGGTGGCTAGTCTCTTACTTTGAACATGCAAGGGATGGTTCAGGTGGGTACTTCTCATAGCACAGCAAAACTAACACAGGGGACTGAAATATCTTGGGGCCTCTGCTGTGGCTCCCCAGTGCCAATACTGGCATGCACTCCAGATTGCCAGAGGCTGGGACCACCTACTTGGCTCCAGCATTAGGTTCTGGTTGAAACTTTAATCTCCTGGGGCAAAAAGCCTCCCCCTGGGATGCTTTTACTTTTTGTGTCTTTTATTTATTTCCTAATACCCACACCCTGTGACATTCACAGCAGTCAGCCACCACAGGACAGGAGTCTGGGAAAAAGTTTTGTCTTGTTTTTTTTCCTCTTTGTGGGTCTCTAATTCTTATTTTTTTATAAACCAATAGTGGGCAGACACAGGAGGGAAGGAAAAACTCCTAATTCTTCATTGTGGGATACAGAAAGATTTTCCCCCAGGTTGTCACCTGCTTGCTAACCTGTTGTGTAGTGAGCTACTTAGTAGTTTTCTCCCTGAGGGCATCAGCATCTAAGGCAATCAGACACTATTGTCTGTCCCATCATAGGTGGGGCTCACACCCCACTAACAATGATAGTGATTGTTTCCCTGAAGGAGAGCCCAGATACAGTCAAGCCAGCTCAAGGAGGACCAAGGTTAGACTGCCATCTTGAACCTAGGATCCGCCCATCTTGTCACATGTGTACTGCTAATCCCTCCCCTCCCTATTGTGTGCACACCCCAAGGTTGTCCCCTCCCATTGTCTGTATCGCCTATAGTACAACCCCTTCCTGTTACATATGTGGTTAGCTGTAATCAGGGGGGCTTGCACGGCCCCAAAAGATATATAAACCTTGGTTAGAAATGTACTGGCTTCTACTCCTCCCTCTCTGCGCAGACCTGGCTGCTGAGGTTACGGTGGGCACGCTAACATAAAATGTGTCCGACTCCTTTATTTTTACCTTCTCCCCTTTATTTTACACACACACACAGCGCACATGCAGCAGTTCATGTTCCTGTGGTCATATGCAAGTTTGTGTGTGTGTGTGTGTTTTAAATTGCTATTACTGTCATTGTTGCTGTTTGTGTTTTTGTTAGGTAGCTAGCATAAGGACTAAGGTGTTCATTAGGTGTGCTCAGAAGTTCAAGCTTCCGGCCAGGAGGGGGTGGTACACCTAGGTGGGCGTTACACCTGGATTGGCCCATCTGGATTAAGTGAATCCAATTCAGCCAATGGGGTCGACCAGGGTCGTTGGCCATGCCTCCCAACAGAGGACAGGAAAAGCCAGAATCCAGGGCCTGCGGCCCCTTCTGCTTCTCAAGCCGCTCCTCAGAGGCCATGCAGTGATATTTTCTGGCCTCAGGACTCCCCATGTGGGTGTTAAGTGCCCTGTGTAAAACCTGAAACTTCTTTATGTTTTGTGGTTTCTGTTACTCCTTCCAGGCACTACCTGGTGGCCCCCTCTGCCCATGCTGCACAAACCTACAAAAGTTACACACAGTCTTAGAGACAACAGGCAATCTCACTTTAAACAAAGAAGCAAGCTAGCCTGACACAAACAAGTGACTAATATACAGAGCCAAAAGGCATTCCTGAGGAAGAAAGGCAGTGAAACTACTAGAAAAGGAATTCAGAACGATGTTCAGGCACTTCCAACACATGGAGAAAAAGGTAAAAAAAAGATGAAAAATTAGAAACCATACTACCCCCCACCTTCCAACTCACAAATAGAAATCCATAATATTAATACTAAAATGATGGGATTAAATCACACTTTTAAAAAACAAAGCAACAGAACTGAAGCAATGGAAGGCCAAATTGATTGGCTTGAAGATAAATCTCTCGATTCCAATCTATGAGAACAATCAATAAAAAGAGCAAAATAATCCAAAGAAAGTCTTAAGAATTATGTGGGCCATTATCAAGAAAAATAAAGTATATCTCATTGGCATTTCAGAACAGGAAGAAAAAAAAACAAACAAAAAAATACAGAGAAAAACATTCTAGAAACTGCTAGAAGAAAACCTTCCTAAAAGAGGAGAAAATAACATTCAAAAAGTTGAAATATATCCAAACAGGATAAACCCCCAAACAAAATCAACAGTGCATATCAGAGTCAAAGTTTCTAATATCAAGGTTAAGAGCAGAATCCTGCAAGCAGCTCAGGAAAATAGAAAAGTTACCTACAAAGGGGGAACCAGTGAGTTTTAAGCTCGGATTTTATTCAATAGACACCATTCAAGCAAGAAAATAATGGGATGACTTAAATAAAACTCTGAAGGTAAAAAAAAGCCTAATAAGAATCTTATATCTAGCAAAATGACCTCTCAAGAAGGAAGAAGGGAATTTCCAGATAGGGAGGAATTAAAGCAATTTGTGTGGATAAGACCAACATTACAAACAATACTAAGAGGAATTCTTGGGACAAAGAATCAATAAAAGGAGGAATCAATCTGAAATACTATACAAGATATTACCATACAGAAATCAATCCACTTAAAGCATTACTCAAAATAAAAGAAACTTACAAAACCGAAAACTCAAGATATTCTTTCTTCAAGAAAGATGATTAAGAAAAAAATAGAGGGAAAGTATAGATATCTGAATGAAGAGGAAAGTAGTTTGCAAAAGAGAACAGACAATGTTACACTTAGAAAGAAAAGAATAAACAAGGTAACCTCATGGTAAATGGACAATCCTCACCAAAATTAAAGAGAGGAAATAATAAAAATCTAGTAAATAAAGTAACAGCAAAGAAAAAAATGACAAGAAAACCTACAAACAACATATTCAGCACAGAAATTTACAAGGAACAAAGATACTAAGGACACCACCACCACAAAAATCACACAGAAAATTGACAGCCATAAATTCATATCTACCAATGACATTTAACGTAAATGGATTAAATTCACCAAATGACAGAGTAACAGACTGGTTAAGAAAACAGGACCTAAGGAACTATATGTGACCTC